TCCACATCTGAAGAATAGAATTGACTGGCTCAGCTAATCACCACCTTTCATATAGCTCATACTCATTTGCTGTTATCATTCCAGTGAATGCCAGTGAATGCCAGTGAATGTTCAGTAACTATAGATCTGGGCAGTTTTACGTCTTTTTCTCCCACATCTTCCCCTTTCATATGACCTAGAGTTCTTTCTTTTCCTACTCTCCCACCCTTTTTGTCTCTTGTTAGACGAACACATGGTAGTTCCAATTAATTTGTGTTCACAAACCATCTCATGACATGATAAAAAGAAAGCCATTTTTTTCCCTTCATGTACCGTAGCATGAAGTCAATATAACTTAATAGTTAAGGATGTGGGTACTGAAGTCAGAAGGTCTGGATTTAAATCTAGACTCCGCCACCTTGGCAAATGTGTGAATTTGAATAAGTCTTTTAAGTCTTTGTAGATAGAAAAGAACAAAATTTTCCTGCTTGGGTTGTCGTGAGGACTAAACAGCATCAATGTTTCTCATGGAACATAACAGTCACTCAAAACACTTAGAATGCAATGCTAAGTCGTGCTCAGCTCTTCTACCTAAAACCCCTTAACCTCGACACTTCTAGGATAGAGCTGAGAACTCCTTGGCATGTTGGGTAAGCTCAGGCTCTCTTCCTCCCTCCCTGCTCTCTTCCTGCTTTGTGTCCAGTGTTAACCACTTCCTCTGCCCACAGTGGTCCATGACTTACCTATCTCTTCTCACACACACCCTAACTCATGCAATTTCCTTCCCCATACAAATATTAGACATTTCTCTTTTAGTAATGTTTACCCCTCAGGTTACATAGTGAGCCAATTATTTCTGAATGTTTCTGTACTCCAGGACTCTCAATAAATCTTTGCATATTTGCATGGAACTTGGCTTCCTATTGTGCAACTCCAGTGTTCTTTGCTGTGCTCTGAATGACTTCAATGAGGTGTAGAGGAGAGAGTCTGGGTTCTGTTTGCTTTTTGGACCTAATTTTTGATACTTTTAGTTAACTTTCTAATATACTAATAAATCAGAATCTACTTGGGGATCCTAGGAAATTCACAATGGCTAACACAATAAAATGGGCATCTCATTAATGTTTGAAAAATAAACAGACGGCTATTTGAATTTCATGTGTCTTTAACTATTCATCTTGTATAGATACATATAAAATTAAAAAGTAAGTTATTTAACTCTAATTTGTAAAGGTTTAAATTCCAAGGCCACTTAAAGTGATCTCATGTGAATAACTGGGATAGTTTGATAAAGTTGCATAACTTTTGATGAAGAATAAGAGACGGTTATGAAACAAAAAATGGGCCTGTTTTGTGCTGTGAAATAGCTCTCTGATGACAATCATTTAAGCTGTAGCAGATGATACAAAAGACCAGGAAACTCCTTTGAATCCCAAAGAATGCATAGACAGGAGGAAAATTTGTTCTGGCTGACATTGTGTGAGTCCTATCATTTCTAGCTATGAGTCCTCTTCAGTGATCTACAGTTTCCTTTGTTTTGAAAAGCTTGAGATCCATGCTGGCTTCCTAGGCTCTCTAAGAAGATTATAAAATTCTGCAAAAGGTCTATTCAAGGTCTTGTAGGCCAGTTCTATTTAAATGAGCTAGAAAGGGCTAGGTCATTTCTGTAGAAGGTGAAGGTGTTGGTTCACTGGTAGCTGTTGGCTATAATCCTGGAGTTGCTGGATGCTCCTATGTTTTCAAATTCCACTTACAGATGAAAGCAGACTGGTCTAAAGAAGTGGCCAATATCAGAATCAGATGACAAAAAATGTGAAGTAGACAGTGCAAGAATGCGAGGTCACAAAATGAAACGGAGAAGTGTCAAAAGAGCACAGGACAAACTCGAAGGTTCCTTCAGGTGCAAATCTACAATCACATGAAAATCAGTTCTTCTACAAAAGAAAAAAGTACAAAAAGATGGGATTTTTTTTAAAATAAAAGAGTATCAGTTAATAAGTAGGAAGGAAGATGGAACTGGAAAAAAAATCATTCTTTTACAGTCCCAAGTAGAGTAAGTGATGGCAACGATGAATCTGATGGCTCTTGTGAGAAATGGTCTGGAAATAAGACAGCCACAGAGCAACACGCCTTCACATTCAGACTGTGTAGGAATATAAGAGAAAGACACGGAGAGGTGGGGCAGTGATAGCAAATGATGGTGCCTAGCATTAGCCAGGTAATTCGACAACGCAGCACTGTGTCTTCCCAGATGAGGAAGTGTGAAGTTTGCAGTATGAGTTTCTTCTACCAATTAGACTTCAGTCTGCAGGCAGTATAGCTGCTGGAAGAACAGAGTAGCAATTCTATGGGGGAATATCAGATGAATGAATAATGTGGGATGTCTTCTAAGACAGCTAGCCATGGACTCTAAATATAAAAGAAGAACTCTTACACTATATAACATTTGCTGTGAGGCTGCCTCGTCTAGAAAGAAGAAAGGCACGAGCAATGGCAACAATGGCAGTATCAGTAGACTTGCTAATGTGGAAGGGGGAGAAAGCCCAGCGTTCCGCCGCAGATAAGGACTCCAGGCAACTAATGTTCCTGAGAGAGAATTAGCCTCTCCCAGGGATGACCTCCGCTCTTTGGTTACTCAATACAAAGTGGTCAGATCTGAAAACCTATACACAAAAACAACTAAGAATGTCTTAGCAGGTTGTATTTATATATTAATACACATAAAAATAATATAAAAGAAAAGATGCTATCAATTTGAGGGGTGGATTGTGAGGGGTCAGAAGCAGGTGACAGAGGAGAAGTTCGAGGGAAGAAAGTGAAAGGGGGAAGTGATAGGATTATATTTTAATTAAAAGTGTGTCAAAATAAAATGCACTACAAAGAGAATGTAGCCAAATGCAGTAAGAACCACTGGAGTAGATCTTGGCCTGGATGAAAATATTACAAAAAGAGATTGAGGCTGGAATACTAGAAATTTGAATAGCTAATGGATATTAATTGTTAATTCTCTTTAAAATCAAGTCTGAAAATAAGATGAGAACTGAATTTTTGATGTGTGCTGATGTTATTGGTATGTAGGGAAACACTCTAACTTCTAACAGATGCATGGTGAATGATTTAGCAGCAAATAAAAAAGTCTTCACCCTCCTTTCAAACAGCACAAATAAAATTTTTTTGTAATGAATCGCATGCATACAGAAGCATACACAGTGTTTGTGATTGTGGACTAGGTTGGCGTGTACGGTGTAAGTATATTATTCTTTCGGCCTTTGTGTTAGGTTTGTTAAACTGGAAACAATGAATAGAATTAAAGCATAGTAAATATCTGAGGGGTCAGGGTGTCTGATGGGCTCAGCTGTGTTCCGGACCTCCGTAATGATGCCACAGCTCACTTCCTCTGTCCTTCCACACTGCTCCTGTTCGTGCACACAGCAGAACACCCAGGAGTCTAGAGTGCATGCAGAGCCTAGTGCTTTCAGCCAAATTGTGAAGCACTATGAAAATCTCCTGGGAGTATTACTAGAAAAGCTTAAAGTGGAGCCTTTTAGCTTTTCCAGTATCTACACTGTTGCAGGCGTTCAGAAAACATTTGGCTAAAGCCAGGTATTAAACAGGGTAATTAGGCTAGTGACTTGCCTGGAAAAGCAATAGCACAAGTGACTTTGTTCAGATCCAGCAAACACTTGTTGAGTGGAATAGAATTGAACTTGTGAAGGTTAAGGAAGGTTAATATTGGCTCCAGTAAATGCAAAGCCTGTTTTTCAGGCTTCGTGACTGCTTTCAACTGTTTCAACTTTGAATGATGCTTCTTGCCTTTCTGACTTCATGATCAAAGCGTTTTGGTGGAGACCTGCTGCAAGTTTTTCCTCCACATGGGGAAAATGTGGGTTTGGTGAGACATCTTCAGAGGGTGGTATTTGCAACCCGGCTTTGTTCCTTGGTGAGCTATGAGTCTCTCCTCACTTAATTATGTTAAAAAAAAATACTGCAAGAGAGCAATTGGATAATCCCCCAGAGAGTAATTATTGCCTGTCTTGGCAGAATGCAAGGCTTTTAATCTGTAAATAAGCGATTCTGTGTGGAGGAGCGACATGCAGAGTGGTGCTGTGTAGCAAAGGTCTCATGAATCTTTAAAGTGACAGCAGTCGCTGCATCCCCTGATTGGCTGCTGTTTGCCTTTCAAACGGTTTATGATGCTTCCCTTGTGGTTTTAACCCCTCCTGAAATATTTAAGCCTCCGAGAATAGTTCCTGTAAAGGGTGAAATTCAAGTTAAGTCCATGACGAATCCGAATGCAGAGAAAGCAAGATGAACTTTCTCCAAGTTTCTAATTACAAAAAACCAAAACAAGATGCAATATTGACAGTCATTGCTTTGGAAACACATAAAAACAAAGAAGCAATAATTACGCACTTATCGATATAGTACTTACTTATTGGAGATTATGTTTTTGTTGTTTTGTTTTGGTTTGTTGCTGTTCCCTGGTTTTGAGATGATCTTGGGTAGCTCAGGCTAGCTCACTGCGTAGCTGAGGATAACCCTGAACTCCTGATACTCCTTCTATTTCCCATGTGAGTTGGGACTATAGGCCACACCAGCCACTAGGAGATTAAGTTTATAAAATTATTCTGGAATGATTGACATATAATAGGCTACATTTATTTAAAGTTTTAACATAAGTACATAAAAATTTAAAATGTATGCCACGGTAGTTACTATTTCCAAAAAGAGTTAATTTTATGAAACTGAGAAAGGTAATTTATGCCTATAATATCATTGTTCACGTGAGAAACTGAGGCAAAAGGATTACTTTGAATTCAAGGTCAGTCTGTTCTTCATTGCTAGTTCCAAGTTACCATGGGTGACAATTTAAGAACTTGTCACAAGCAAACCCAGAATGAATTTGCTTCTGAAATATGTGTGTAGGTAGATCTGCGTCTTCCAGAAAGGAAAAGTGAGCTCCAACATCTGGGTTTTACGTTGTCAATAGCATCTTCCTGTTTGCCTCTGGTTCCGGTTGCATGGACGATCTGGGTGTGCACCTCTCCAAGGTCAGCCTCTGCACTTCACACAGGAGCCTCTCTTTTGCCTGCTCAAGGACTGCGTTGTGCAGCGTTGCCTCTTTCTGGGTAACCTCTGCTCCCTGTCAAGTTTTTGTTTCCCTTTGCAGTGCTGCTCAACAGCCTCTATCCTGGCTTCACTTTCTCTCTTCCCCAGGTTCCTGGATCTACTCCAGATAATCTTTGGCCCCAGTCCCTGACCCCATAGAGCCTACTACTGTCAAAGAGTCTGTAACCTTCACTGTCAACTTCCCTAGGCAGTGATGCTCTCCATCTTTCTGATCAGTGACAGCAGCAAAATTACAGTTATGGAGTAGCAATGAAAATAATTTTATGGTTGGGAGTTGTCACCACACAAGGAACTGTATTAAAGGGTTGAAGCAGTAGGAAGGTTGAGAACCACTGTTCTAAAAGATTCCAGGACTTAGGTCTGAAGTCCATGTCTGTCACCTGGTCTGCAGACTTACATATCCAATTGCTGCCTGATGGCTAATGGCACCTCAGTTGTAACACCTCAGGAGTGTAATTCCTTGTTTGTTCATGATCATCTGTCACTCGGACTTACTGCAGTAGCTTCCTGTTTCCCTGCCTTGTACTTACTCCAATGTCCTCCAATCTGCCAGTGGCATAGCAGCTCCTGAAAACCCTTATGAGACATTGAATTTTTGTTTCACCTTTGATCCAAGCACCTGGTGTTTTCCATATCAGAATAAAGGCTACCCAACAGGCTTTTCTTTGTCTGACCCCTCCTGTTTTAGATTACCTTTCTCCTTTGCTCTCTCTGCTCTGATGTCTCTTGCAGACACTCCTACCTCATCCCACCCTGTGTCTCTGTCTGCCTCTCAGTGAGTTATTTCTAACCATCCTAGTTAAGTTCTACCTGCCCCAGCCTGTTTGCTCTGCAGATCCCTTCTCCGGGTACCATATAAAAAACATAAATTAAACTATTTAATTTGGTTTGTTTCTATGTTTGTGCTCAGGTGTCATCTCATATTGCAGTGTAAGTTTCAAGAGGCTACAAGCTGTGTCTGTCTGGTCACAGCCGGTTTGCAGCACTGCTGAGCTGATCAGAGGCGATAACAAGGCTTAGGAAGCTAGCCATTGCATATTGCTTTGGCCGTGCAGAATCTAGATGAAAACAGAAGGGGTTGGGGACAAGAGAGGACAATGGGTGATGAAGGTGATGAATGTACACTGTATACGGAGAACATTATTGTATGACTCATATACACATGAAATAATAGAGCAAGAAAAACAGATTGCTCCTTCCTTCATGCTCTCATTGTATCTTATGTGGGACAGAAGGCAGGTCACACTCAGAAAAATTCACTATATGCTACTGTTTTCTGTTCCTCAGTTTCTCTGTCTGAAGAATATCCGGACATTTCTGGCCGCCTGCTGTGATACGTTTGGAATGAGGAAAAGTGAACTTTTTGAGGCGTTTGACCTATTTGATGTTCGTGACTTTGGAAAGGTACTGATATATTTGCCTTTTAATTATTTTTTTATATAGTTCTGGGGATTGAACATGCTAGGCAGGTGCTTAACCTTTGAACTACACCCTAGCCCTTGCCTAGCATTTGATTTTTCACTGGAGATTATTTAACTAAATTAAAGTGTCTTAAGTGGTCTGTGTTTCTGCATTGTTTGATTAAATGGCTTAGCAAATAAGAGTAAGTCCCATTCCAAAGAACAGAATCAGACAGCAGCAACAACTTTGGAAGTGAGTTCAAAAGTACTTTGTAACTTAAACAGGGGCATCCTTTATCCACAGGTAGTCCTTCTGGCTCTTTCCTCCTCCAGGGGTAGAATCCCATCCTTTATGTCCAAGGGCCAATATGTGTTACCTCAAGCCTTCTATCTGTATACAGGGCACCTCAGTTTGGGAAGCTGAGAAGGTGAAGTTGTCCTGTTCTTAATTTAAACACTTTGAACAATTATTTGGAAAAGACATGAAATATGGGTATAGGGTGGTGCAGGGACAAAACCAGGGCTTCACAAATATAAGACATGTGCATTTCTGGAGCTCCAGCACTACTGGGAGGTTGTCCAGATGCTTGCATTTCGATAATATTTTTTCACGTGTAAATAGTTATAATATTTATGTTATTACTTCAGTGAATACTAAATCCATGGTAAAAAGAAATGATATTTTTGGGCAGGTGAGATTTCTCAGTGGGTATAGGTGTTTGCCATCAAGACTGATGACCCATATGTGATGCCCAGGACCCACATAGGGGAGAGAAGTGACCCTTGCAAGATGTCTTTTGACCTTCACATGCATCCTAGAGAACTTGGCATTGCACCCTCATAAATGAATGAATTAAAATTAAAATCATACTTTCAAAAATTATAGTCATTTTTAATGAAGCAGTATGAATGCAAATCTCTTTCCTGTGAGTAGCCTTGAGTTCAGTTACTACATTACATTATGAAAGTATGGATGTGTAAAGAGAATGAAAGGTAAATGAGTATAGGGTGCAGCTCTGTGTTTCAAAGCCTGTCTGACATGTGCAAGGCTTTGGCTTTGATTCTTAGTTGCAAGAGTCACTATTTGCATGAGTGCTTTGTCTGCACTTATATCTGTGCACCACAAGTATGCCAGGTGCCCTTAGAGTCCCTGAGACTGCACTTACATATGGCTGTGAGCCACCATGTGGGTATTAGGGATCCAACCTGACCCTCTGCAAGAACAAGAAGTGCTCTTAACCACTCTGCCATCTCTCCATCCCCCATCTTATTCTTTAACTTGGGTACTCGTATCTTCCCAAATCTCTCTCTGAGACTGACGTTTTACTTGACTTTCATGATGTAATATCTGACTATATAATAAAGCCCAAACACTTAGCATGAACTTGTCACAGAAATATTAGGAATTTGATGGTGACATAGAGCAAAGATGGGTAGCTCTTTCTTGTGGGGAGGTTGAAGGCTGAGCCTCTTTCTAGCTTAGACCTGGAGTCATTCTGTGATCTTTGAATAGTTCCCAGCCTTGTGGTTGGTCAGGCTTCTTGTTAATGTGGAAGGAAATGGAGGAGATAATATCAGGGATTGCTTTTATCTCAGGCAAGCTGTCATTTAACTGACTTGGGATCACAAGTAAAGTGATGGTAGATAAAATATGGTAGCACAAGGAACAGAAAGTCAGGCCACAGATAGGCAAAGGGAAGCCTGTTTATGGCTGTGCCCTGTGACCCGTGAAAATGGGGCAATTCAGTTGAAGTACAAATGGCGGACACCACGCTGCACAGATGTTCCTGGTTTCATACTTCTCCAGTCCTTTCCCAGCCAGTACATTCTCTTTTGAGGAAATGGAAATTGAAAACAATTTAAGGAAATGAAAAATGAAAAAAAATCTGGCTTTTAAATACTTATTAAGGAGCCATCCCTCCTCCCCCACTTAAGCTCCCAAGATATGGTGATAAAGATGGGAAACTTATGGAAATACTTTTTAAAATGTGTGGCTTTGTTTTAGTGGAGTTACATGACCTGTTCGATTGATTAGACAGTAGAAGCTTTGGAGAAAGATTGAGATTTGAAAAACTTGAATGTAAAGGAATGTACTCTTTAGTGTTTGTGGACAAATGCATTCTATTTCTGACTACTTACATTGTTTCAACAGTGGTAAGACTGAGAAAGGATCAGGCCTGGGTTGGTGGTTTGGACTTGAACCTGTACTTGTTACTCTACAGCCATTGGCTTTGCGGGTGCCTGTGTTGATGATCTCTCTCTCCAGACTGTGTGTAACATAAAAATATAGTTGTGTCCCTACTATTGAACATTCTAAGTAAAACGGTCAGTGTCATCAGTCACTGAACACTCACAAAGCCTTTTGTAAAAAATATTTTCATGTAGATATTAATGTTTAATCCTTATAACAGGCTTGTGAGGGGGCACTAGTATTTTTCTCATTATGCTAATGAGGAATTCTGTTCCCCACATCACATATCTGATGTGAGATGAAGCAGGGTTTGAATTCAGATCTGTCTGCTTCTCTGCTACTATCCCACAATTCCAGCATGGTTACATAACATAACAGACTGTAATAGGGCACATATTCTTTGGTGCTTTGCATATATATGGATGTAGTTTATCTCCAAATCCTGCTATGTGACTACTATTCTTGATTACAGCTCTTGAAGTAATTCATGCAGTTTTACATTTTTAGTATAATGATATTGAATAGATGTTAAATCAGAGATAACAATAATTTCTAATATTGGGAATCTAAATGAAAACAGGATTTGGAGAAGGCTGGGTTATAGCTCAGTGGTAGAGTGTTTAGTTAGCATGCATGAGGCCCTGCTGTAGTATGCTATCTCTGCAGTATAAACAGCCATTAACTTCCTCAGAGCAGCTGGGACTGTTTGAAAGCAATGCCTGAGATCTGGCTTGTTGATTGTTGATGTTAACTCATAGAAGGAGGGGTGAAGTAGTTCATTAGACACTCTCCTGATATATAGGACTTTCATGCCTGCATGTCTCAGACAGTAATTCTGAGTAATTCTGTCCTAATTACATGGGGCTTTGTGCAGCCATAGGGAAGTTGTCATCCATGCTGGGGTAAGACTTTCCATGTTACTGATTCGTTAGGCTCATTCTCGCTCTTGTAAGTAACCCTTCATCTATAGTTAAGTGAAATAAGCTCATTGTTTCCCCAAGTTGGACTTTGTGAAATCATACTTGGTTTGTCCTTGGAGTCCTGTGAGGAGGGAGGGACATGTGTTTAGAGTTCCTTAGGGAAAGAGTTTCTGTGATGCTTGACCTAGTCAGCAGGCTCATAATGGAACTGATGCTGAATTTGGGAAGAACAAAGACCCTGCCCCTGAGTGCCCTAACTCCATGGCCAAGGAGACAGGCAGCTAAAACTAGCTAATCTGTCTGATGATGGATTATCTTGACATGCCTGTCTTTCTTTATATAGAATGAAGAAGAGTGCCTCCTTATTGTTACAGCAATTGTGGTGTCCCTGCTTTGGTAGTAAGATAGAGAACTATAGCTCAGCCTCCAGAGGTGGCAGGCATTTCCAAAGGATGAATCCTGGAGTGGCTATCTTCTTATCTATGGTATGGAGCTGCATTCTTGATTGATGAGTGGGGTGAATAATATACTGCAGTTTCTTAAAGTAGCATCTATGGATGGGGTCTCAAGAAGACTGTAGCATTTGTTGCATGGCTTTTTTTTTTGTGGGAGCTAAGACATGCTGCTGAAGCTGAGCTGTCAGCCCAGAGAGAATTTGATGTCCCAAGGGAGAAAATAAGACAAGAAAATGACATGATGATGTTATCCACTATGTCAGCCTCTGATTTGTCAAGTAAATTGGATGAAAGAGAAAATAAAATAGAAATGTTGTCTTGTTTCCTGTGGATGGGGATCTAAAAGAGAAAGGGAACCCAAATTAAATCTGTGTTCAAAACCCTTTCTGCTATTCAAAAATTTGGACTCATGGGAAGAATCAGATGATGAGAAAAGTAGGTGATAGAGAAGTTATAGAAAATACCTCCACCCATGAAGAAGGGAAAAATCTGCAATTCTTCATGCAGATGGGGCCCTTAACAATGGCTGTACAAGAGACTGTGTTAATCAGGGAATGGTCTGTGTCTGCTTGAACTGCTGTCCTAGACAGAGTGTGGGATATTAAGCAGGAATGCCATCTAAGCAGTGATGGGGAGTGTTCATTTATTCGAGGTGAGACTTTTGATGGTGCAGCTACTTGGGTCACCTATGCTAACATATGTCAAAGTGCTTCAGCTCTCACTAATAGTAAGCTTTGAACTCACACTTACTTGGCAGCTTTGGGGTCTAGAATTATAAACACAATGACAATGTCTTATTTTTTTTACTGTACTTTGAAGTTTTCAGAGTGCTGGTTACCACTGATTTCTGATTCTCAGAAGCATTGGTGAAGGTAGCCTGTAACTGCTCCTGGACCTTGGATGGGTCAATCAAGGCACAGAGGGTCAGACAGTGAGGTTAAGACCATCTGTCTTGGGGACAACAACAGAATCTGGGTTCAGACATTCTGGCTTTTCTTCTCTTTACTCTTCTCTGCTCTCCTTGTTTTGGGTCTCACTGGCTGGTCAGGGAAAAGGTTGAGCAAGTAGGAGAAATCAAAGTTTGTTTTTTGTTTGTTTGTTTTGTGTTTTGTTTTTTTGTTTTTTTAAATCAAAAAGCATAAGAGATTCATTGGCTTTGGATCCAGTTTTGGATTGGGTCATCTGTGAGTAAGGTAAGATTCAGGATGCTGGGTGAGGCACAGCATAATGGTGGCAGAAGTGAGTAAGTCTAGATAGACATCGGTTTCATAGGTTCTCAAGTATGCTTGGATACTTTGTAGCTGTCCCCTCTGCCCTGGCCCCCTGGTGACACCATGCAGTTCTCCAGTCTTTTCCTACCCTCTTTAGTGTTGGTTTCAGGAACATATTTGGAATCAGAGTCTTGACATGAATGTGCCTGCTGTGGGAAATTAAGACT